GGATAACACTGCTGATGTCAAATGCATCTTGGCTGAATACAGAGAATACCAGAAAGATGTTTACCTTTGTTTATCAACTACACAAAGGCATTTGACTGTGTGGATCATAAAAAATTATGGGTAACATTATGAAGAATGAGAATTCCACAACACTTAATCGTGCTCATGCGGAACCTATACATAGATCAAGAGGCAGATGTTTGAACAGAGTAAGGGGATACTGTGTGGTTCCAAACTGGAAAAGGTGTGCAACAGGGCTGTATCTTTTCACCTTACTTAATTAATCTATATGCTGAATAAATAATCCGAGAAGCTGGACTATATGAAGAAGAGTGTGGTGTCAGGATTGGAGAAAGCCTCATTAACAGCTTGGATATGCATATGACACAACCTTGCTTGCCAAGTACCTGAAGCACTTATTGATGAAATTCAAAGCTAACAGTCTTCAATATGGATTACACCTGGATATAAAAAGAAACTAACATCTTCACAACTGGACCAGCAAACAATATCATGCTAAATGATGAAGAAATTATAAGTTGTGAAAAATTTCCTTCTACTTGGATCAACAATTAATGCCCATGGAAGCAGCAGTCAAGAAATCAAAAGACGTATTGCACTGGGAAAATCTGCTCCAAAAGCACTCTCTGTAAAGTGTTAAAAAGCAAAGATGTCACTTTGATGACTAAGGTGCACCTGACCTAGGCCATGGTCTTTTCAGTCACCTCATATGCATGTGAAAGCTGAACAAAGAGATAGGAAGATCAAAGGAGAGCCAACGTATTTAAATTGTGGTGTTACCAGAAGAAAGAATAAATCTGTCCTGGAGGAAGTACAGGCAGAATGCTCCTTAGAAGCAAGGATGGTGAGACTTCATCTTGTTTATGTTGGACAGATCAGGAAAGACCAAAGGATAAAAAAGAACATCATGTTTGGCATAGTTAGTGAAAATGAGGAAAACCCTCCGTGAGATAGACTGACATGGTGGTTGCAACAATGGGCTCAAACAGAACAAAGATTGTGAGGATGGTGCAGGACGGGGCAGCGTTTCATTCTATTATACATAAGGTCACCATGTATAACATATTTGATTATTTCCGCTAGTAGCAGCAGCTGACTCAATGGCAATTAACAACAATGACAGAAGTCAGAGTAATAAAAAAGAAGGGGGACAATTCCACAAAATATATTGTATTAGTAATGAGAAAGTAGATACAATTTATAGTTGTAGAAGACAATAAAATAATTATATTCAACTTTATGACTATGTTTGGAAATCAGAATGAATGATTTTATAAACTACAATACTTATTCTGCAGACTGATCCAAGGAAAGAACAGACTAACAATTGAAGTGGTTACCAGGAAGCTAGCTGATGAAAAATATGACAAGCTTAGATGACTTTACAAGCTGAGGTCTACCTGTCAAAAGATAAAATAATTTCCATGTTATTTGAACTATTTCAAAGGATTCCCAGTTTCAAATAGTCAGTTGAGCATATACATTTACTTCTTCTATTTCCTAAAACCTCTTGGAAATGACAATAAACTTCCCAATTTCAAAACTAACTACAAGCTAAAGTAAACAACACAGTGAGGTACTGGCATCAGATAGAAATTAATAATCAATGGAACAGAATTTACACTCCAGAAATAAACCCTTATACTTATGGTCGATTCATTTTTAACAAAAGTGCTAAGGCACTGAATGGGGGAAATGATATTCTTTTCAATAAGTGGGTGCTGGGACAATGAGATAATCATAGGCAAAAAGATGAATTTTGACCCTTACTTCACAACATATACAAAAATTAACTAAAAATGGTTTATAGGCCTAAATGTAAAGTAAAACTATAACACTTCTAGGAGAAAACACAGGAGAAAATCTTCATAACCTTGGGTTAGGTAAAGTTCCTAGATATAATATAAAAAGCACTATACAAGAAAAAATTGATAAATTGGACCTTATTGACATTCAAAACTTTTGTGCTTCAAAAGACACTATTAAGATAATAAAAAGACAAGCCATGGCCTGGGACAAAATACATGCAAATCATATATATGTTAAAAAACTTGTATCCAGAATATATAAAGAACTTTTAAAACAAAACTAGAAGATTAGCAACCCATTTAATACATAGGCGAAAGAATGGAATAATCATTTAATCAAAGAAGATATATGAATGGCTAATACACACAAAAAAATATGATCAACATCGTGTTAGTCATTAGGGAAATGCAAATTAAAACCGCAAATGAGATAGCATTTCACATCTATTGTAAAAATGGCTTGGTGTCAGAGGTTCTCTAACTTCACGAGGGAGGAGGAAAATCAAGATCAGCGTCAGCCCAAAGCTGATTCCTATGAGGTGGAGGTCAGACGTACCTCTACTCTCCAACCTTTTTACCAATTCTGACACCAGCCATCCCTCCCATGGCACTCTCTACTTCTCTGCTGGGTTCAATAATTTGTTGCAATGGCAACACAGAACTCACAGACCATACTCACAGAGTTTATTAGGGAAGTAATAGGTTACAATTCAGGATCAGGATACAATTCTTCCATCAGGACAGCTTTTTCTTGGCTGCTGCTGCCAGGCCCTCACTCTCAGCCTGAGCCCTGCACCCTCAGCCTAGCCTCTGCCCTTCTTGGGCAAGTGTTAAAGCTTTTTAGCTCTGCCAACAAGTCCCTGGAGGCACTCCACTCCATCAGCAATCCTCCTGCCTGAAGGTGCTCAGCTCTCTCACTCTGTGGGTTGGCACACCCACTGTAGCCACCTTGCTCCATGGGCCAAGAAGACTACCTTGCCATTTCACGCCAGTCTCCTGGTTCTTCTGCTCACATTTCTCTGCCATTGGACTCTGCTGTGCTTGCTGCCACTTCTTGCTGTCTCACACCATCTCCAATATTATAGCTCTGTCTCTCTCCTGGGTCTAGGAGGTTCTCAGCACAGGGACCCTGGGTCCAAAAGACATGCTCCACTCCTGGCTCTTCTTCTTGATGGTAGTGAGGCTCCCCTCTTGCTCTCTGGGTTTTTTTAAAGCTAGTGGGATGGCAAAACTGACTAACCCCCTACAAAGGTTCCATACACCTTATTTGCATGGTCCCACCCCCACAAGGGGGTCCATGCATCTTATTTGCATTATTAGCAGGCTGTTCAATCCTCTTGGTGGGTCACAAGCACTCCATTTGGATAGTCTCACTCCCACAAGGGTTCCATACACCTTATTTGCATTGGCAAAAACTGTCCAATCCCCTTGTTGGGCCACAAGCACCTTATCTGCACCTTATTGCACCCAATCATGTTTTGGTAGTTACAAGACTACGCATGGCTAGAAGGGACATATAAAGTAATTCACTGCACCACACAAATGATAATGGATATAAATGAAAAGACAGAAGACGGTAAGTGTTATGAAGGATGTGGGGAAATTGGAATTCTCACACATTGCTGGTGGGAATATAAAATTGTGCAGCCACTGTGGAAAACAGTTTGTTAGTTCCCTTAATGAGTTAAACACAGAATTACCATATGACCCAGGAATTCCACTCCTAGGTATATATATACTCAAGAGAAATGAAAACATATGTCCTCACAAAATTTGTACACAAATGTTCATATCAGCATTATTCATAATAGTCAACCAGTGAAAACAACCTAAACGTTCATCACCTGATGAATATATAAACAAAATGTGGTACATCCACACAATGGGATACTAGTAGGAAAAAAAACATTGAATACTGAGATATGCTACAACATAGATGAATCCCAAAAACATTCTGTAAATGAAAGAAGCCACATACAAAAAGATCACCTACTGCATGATTCCATTTATATCCAGAAATACCAACTCTATAAAGGCATAGGTATATTAGAGTTTGCCTGGGGCTGGGTGTAGTAATAGGGATTAACTGTTAACAGATGTGAGAAATCTTTTTCAGATGATGGAAATATTCTAACACTGGCTTGTGGTAATGACTATACAACTTAATAAATTTGCTAAAAATAATAAATAAAAACTGATGAGTTTTATGGCATGTAAATGATAACTCAATGGAGTTGCTTTTTTAAAAAAAGCAGAAAGAAATTTATAATGCAAATATGATGCAAATTAAAATGTGACATAATTTTTGTCATTCATGGTTTGTAAGAAAATACAATCTATTTGACGCTAATAATTATATTTCAGCCTGTACTGATGTAGTGAAATACAATTATATTTCTTTTTCTGTGGGTCCACCAAAGTCATTTGGTTCCACACAGAATTAAACACACACACACACACACACACACACACACAGAGTAAATATGTTTGTTATTTCTAAATTTTCAGAATCAACCTTAAGTAGGGAATCAGTCTAAAATATAGAACACTTAATAGAATGTTAATCTAAAACCCTGATTGTGATCTGGTTGTGATTTCATCTTCAGCAGGGCTTTATCTGTGGGACACTTATAAGCTCAGTGAACCCTGGGAATTTACTTACTCTTCAGTTGGTTCAAAATAATGTATGTAAAGCTACTGCACATAGTAGATGACTAACAAGTAGTAACTCTTATTTTATTCCGAGGCTTCATTTTTCCCCTAACTGACCCCCCTCAAAAAAAAAAAAAAATCAAACCCATTTCAGTAAAGTTGGTTCTGACTCATAGTGATCCTATATGACAGAGTAGAACTGCCCCATAGGGATTCCAAGGCTGTAATTTTTACAGAAGCAGACTGCCACATCTTTCTCCCACAGAGTGGCTGGCTGGTTAAAACCGATAAACTTTTGGTTAGCAGATGAGCGTTTAACCACTGTGCCGTCAGGGCTCCTTATTTTTCCCTAGTCTGGCAAAATAATGCTGGTACTGAAAAACACTCAAAACAGAAAGCCTAACCATCTCCAACAGAGGAAGGAGAGATTCCTTTTATCTTCCAACATCTGAGCTTAAATGTGGGTGTCTGTAAAGGAATAGGTTGTTTCTAGAAACTTGGAGAGCCCCAGATACTCACGTGCTTTCTTGCAGTCCAGGAAGCCAACTTGGAATTTCCTGGAACATTGTTTTTTCACCTCATAGTTATCAAAGAATTTACTGATACATATGGCAAAGTTGTAACTAGGAAACATCATTAAGAAATTAAATATGGTGGTTTTGGTGGAGATAGGCAGGTCACGTGCTGTGATGAAAAAGACAATAGATTAGTTTCAACTAGAAGAAAACAGTGAACCTCCCCAGAACAACAAACCTCCCAAGATGATGAAACCATTCTGAAAGAATTACCAATCCAGCAATGATTCTTGAAAAACACTAGTAATTAGTCACTAAATTTGTTCACCTTTGACAGCTTGTAGCATGGATTTGCCAATTAGAGAGTTTAAAAGACTTTGGTAACAGTGTTTCCCTAGGATCTTGTCTTCTTGTAACCTGATAGGAACAGGAAACCAGTACCAAACATTTTTCACACTTCTAATCTTGCTTGTACAAGAGTAAAATTATGATAGGACATGTGGCCTAGGATTCAACAGTGAGACGGAATATAGAAAAATCAGCTTTTAGAGGAGATCCATCTTCAGAGAAGCAAGGTAACTGAAGTTTCTCCAAAAAATGATAGTTTGCAATGCAACTCTACACCGAGACAATTCAGATTACCCGCAGTGTAAAAAAAAAGGCTAGGTTTAAGCAAGAAAGGTTTTTATAAGACACTTTGAGGTAAGAGAGGTGGCCATTCAAGGATAATATCGGATAAGAGGTTTCCAAGAGACGAATCAAGTGCTAAAGCCATGGCAATGCTGACCCTGAGTAGGCCATATCTTAGTTTAGAGGAATAAAAGCTAGTAGCCAGAAGGAAGGACTCTGGAAGTCAGTTGGCCATATAAAAAATACAAAAACTGACAAGGACTTGGTAGGGTGTAGGCTAAGGTCTTTTGACCTCTCTTTGTGGAGTATATATATCTTCTCATCTCAGAAGACAGAAGGAAGAGCTTTCTGGGCAAGGACTAAAATGATGGCTGAGATGACAAGAAGTGAAATAGCTCCCTATGGAAGGGAAAGGAGAAAAATTGAAAAAGCTTTGTCTTACCGGTAAGAGTGATACTAAAAATATTTAACTATCATGGCATGAATATCAATCATTCAAAACCAACACTGGCTAAAATAACCCCAAAGCAATTTTATTTCACTGTATTCTGGCTTCCACTGATACCGTTGAGAAGTGAGTTCTCAATTCATTTGTCATTCCTTTATAGGTAACCTGTCTTTTTTCTTTGGCTGTTTTAAGCTTTCTCTTTACTTTTGGTGGTCTGCATTTCCACTAAAATATCTATGTGTGGATTCTTTTACATTTATCCTAAGATTCATTGAACTTCCTAAATCCACAGATTTGTAGCTTTCAATAAATTCTGAAAAAATGTAGCCATTCTTTCCTTTTGTTTATTATCACCTTCTGGGACTTGAATTGTTTATATGTTAGACCTTGTCATTATATTTTTCATGTCCTTTAACTTCTCTTTCATATTTTCTATATATTTATTTCCTAGGCTATATTTTGGTTATGCTATTCAGATTATCTTCTGGATTACTAATTCTCTCTTTTCTTAAATTTCTCCGTTGAGTTAATTTCACATATGTTTGATTTCTGAAACTTTCATTTGCTTTTTTTTATCTGCTTTTAAAAATTTTTCTTTATTCATATTTCAAGCCTGTTATTTTAAAAACACATTAAATGCACTTATTTTATATTCTTCTCTACACACACTGATATCTGAAGGATTTGTAAGTATTATTCTATAGTTTTTTAAGCTGGACTTACTTATACAGTGCCTTACTTTATGTATTCTGTGGTTTTAGACTAGAGCTCACGTTCCTTAGAAATTTCTACTAGGGTTTCCTCCAGGAGATATTTGCACTACCAATTACGGACTCCTTTAAATTCCCATCTTGAGTTTCTCGATCTACACAGGTCTCTTAATATATCTACGTGCACATATATATTGTGTAAATATACCACAAAAAGGATATAAATCCCCAAGAGGATTGGCATGTGGGTAGAAATTTTCAGAGGATGGTATTATTCTCCCTTGATCCAGGACTAAATTTGAGACTTTCAAGTTTCCTTGCTATGCTCTTCTATGACATGGGTTTTTCTTTCACCCTCATACTGAGAGTAAAGCCTTTTGTAGTTCTCTCTTTGTATGGAGGTCTGCTATTAGAATCCCTATCTCTGCTTGGCCCTAGGGTTTTTTGCACTCATCTGTGCCCCATGAAGGAGCCCTGGTGGCACAGTGGTTAAGAGCTTGGCTGCCAATGAAAAGGTAGGCAGTTTGAATCTACCAGCTGCTCTTTGGAAACCCTATGGGGCAGTTCTGCTCTGTCCTATAGTGTCACTATGAGTCAGACTCAATAGCAATGGGTTTTTTTTGGTTTGGTGCCCCATGTAGCCTACAAAATGGATGATCATGGTCACCAAGAATCTTACTTCACTTTGTTAGCCTCTGTCTTCTGAAACTTTTTGCTAGTTCAATAAGGCATTTAAAAAGTTAAAAAAATATTTTATATAACATATTTTGTTGTTTTTAGGGGGAGGGCAATCCACCATATTCAATCTACCATGCTTCTGGACATGGAAGTCTCCACAGAATTTCTAAGTGCCAAGTCTAACTGCTTCTGTGCCGTATTTTTTCTATGTTCCCCTTCAGGTCCACCCTTCACCCTCCTCCTTTATGCTCTGCCCTGGCAGGCTTATCTGTATTGACTAAATTAAGGGACTTTTTTCCATCTCAGGGGATTTCTTTACTCTCTGGCTTCTCTTTGGGCTAGGGTAATGGGATCCCTCGATGGAGAGAGGAAGGTTACACTAGTATTTTCAGTTTGTGAAAATTTATTACACTGTACATTTATGGTCTCTTCACTTTATGCCCATTATGCTTCAATAAAAAGTAAAAATAACAAATACATTTTTGAAGGGCTCTGTGTTGACTGTCTTCTGTAGGATGAAAATGATTGTAGGGGATGTTGCAGTGGAATTTGGTTCCCTGAAATCCGTGGGAATGATGGAATCCCAGAAAGTAGAAGCCAGATGGTAGAACTTAACAATTAGAGATAAAGTGGGAACTATTTCCACAGTAAGCAACAGGGACAGAACGGTATTCAGATTGTTTTCAATCACAAGGAAGAAATTAATTTTTTAAACTTGGTATCTCCTGCAGACAAATCATATTATAATCCAGCAGGAAAATTAACAGATTTAGACGACCATAAAACTACACTCCAGGGTAAGAGTCTTCATTATGGGAATTTGGCATTCAGAAAACCCACTGTATCTGGGTTTAAGATAAAATAGAATCAAAGTTGCTACTTTAGCATACCCCAGGTGGTAGGCAAAGCTCATTCCTCTAGAGCAAGATAACACAACATGGTCAGACAATAAATTGTCTCAAAAATGAATACAATAATCAAGGTTAAAATTACTAGTCCACTTGTACTTTCTGGTAGAAGAATCTGAAGACTTTGTAGACCTGTTGCCTACAGGGAGGGAGGACACACTGAGCCTACTATGAGAAATGACCTTCAATTCTACCTAGGTTGAGGGGAAATAAGTGGATATTAGTGCAAAAGAGTCCAAAGGTCTAAGTCACTAGCAGAGGAAATTTTTAGAAGGAAAATACATATGCAACAGAATAGATAACATCATCAACTTTGGGGGCAGGTCACTGATAAAATTTATAGGTAGTATAAAGGAGACTGACAACAATATCTTTAACTCAGGGAATGAGCACCAACACTATAACCCTTTGTCATTCAGCCTGCTATACAGGGGCTCATGCCTTCTTCACATGGCGTAACACTACGTCTTGGAGAGGCATGCAAAAGAATATAAAAGCTATGTTTAGTTCATACATTATGTTTAGTTTTGTGGGAGGCCAGATTCTAAAGTCAGAGAATGAAGCTGGAAGCCTATTTTTGCTACTTTAGGCAGGGCTGAGTTGCTTAATACAGTTCAAACTCACATTTATACAGACATTCAACAAAGGAATGTTGTAAGAACAAACAACAAGAAAACAAACAAATCCTATCTGTGATAATCAGATAATCACCAACTGAGTCAGTCTTTCTTTAACTTTCATAATCAGAGAAACAAGATGGGAGAACCTACTCTAGGAATCCTGCTGAAACCAGGCCTGAAAGGAAGGGAGACTGGTTTAATGATAATTGTATTAGTTGTATATTTTGTTGTTTCCTTCTGAAAAAATATCATTAGGAGGGTCAAGATTATATGCTTCTTCATTAAATTAGAGAGGAGTAACATTATAGGACCTTCCACTCTCCAGTCTGCTTGCCTCGCTACAAAGTGCTGCTAAGATGTTAAAATTCTAAGACCACTTTTCGGGCCAAGTCTCAAGGGAGAAAAAAAAAAAGCTGTCAAAGGAGATAAATGTCTTGCACACTTCTGTTATAATCTCTTACTCTTTTTATATTTTTCTTTAATGAGGCTGGACTGATACTGAGTCCTTCTCCTTCAGATGGTTTAGCTTCTCTCTCTTCCCCTCTCCCTCACCCTTTTTCTCTCTCCCTCCTTCCTTCCCTCAATCGGTTTCTCTCACATACCCACTCAATAAACATATACTGATTTTCAGAAATCATAGTTTTCCAAGGATTCCCGAAAATTAACTACTTAGCAGTTAATATTCTTGATCTTAAGCCCTGTCATTCTCATTTATTTATTGTTTATCCTTGGGAAAGAAAAAAATTGTGTGAAGCCCTTACCATAGTGTAGTAGTACAGTGTGAATGAGGACACCGATAAGAGATGTCAAGTAGTTAAAAAGAGTGAGCTTGACGTAGGCAACAGTACTACTAGAAAACACGAAGCTCCCAAGGTATATGAGAGGAACAACAGACCAGCCATATAGCATAAATATCATCATTGTGTCCAGAAAGTGGTAATCCATGACAAGTGCATCCACTCGGAGGAATCTGAACACTCCCTGAGACAGAGTACAGCATTAAAAGCAAGGTGAAGGACACTGTGCAACAAGAAGTCAAGCCAGAACACTTAGAAAACAAGTACTGCGTTTATTAGAGCATAAAGCTATTCTACTTAAATGATTTTATCCATGAAAAAAAAGCCTTAGTTTACGGGCCTGAAGTGAATGACCTCTTCCTCAAAAGAGGGCATTCTAATAAACAGAATAACTATTCTTCCCTTTTCTGTTTTTACTATTTGGAACTTTTTTTTTCCTCCCCATGATCAAAGTCAAAGCAATTGTGTCTGCATCAAGCCCAACTCTGAATTTTCCCGGAAACAAAACTACCTAGAAGGTAGACTATTTCTCTAAAGATTTTCCCTCTGGCTGCTAGGGCATTATATAACCTCCCTTTCCCCCACTCCCCACGTTTGGACTCTGTCTTCTGGCTCTAATCTGTGACTCTGCCACTCAGCAACTCAGACGCCTCCTTTTTCAATTTTTTTAAAAATTCCATTTGAGAATCAGGCAACCCAGCTGCTGTCAATTCCAACTCATGACAAACCCATGTATGTCAGAGTAGAACTATGCTCCATTGGGCTTTCAATGGTTGATTTTTTAGTAATCTCTAGGCGTTCCTTCTGAAGCACCTCTGGGTGGACTTGAACTTCCAACCTTTTGCTTTCAGTTAGTAGCCAACTGTCTTAACTCTTTGCACCACCTAGGGACTCTCAGAATAAGGCTGGGAAGCATAAATGTAGAATGGGCTAGATTAGGAAGAAGGGGACCTCTAGAGCTATTAACAAAAATAATTTTCCAAAAATCAGTTTATCCAAAGACAGCAAAGTTGCCACTTTTGAGCAATATGTAATTATTTAACAGGATCACTAATAAATGGAACTCAGGGTTAAACTAAGAATAGCCCCTATTAGAGGTTCTTGAAAGTCGTTTATATTGAAGCAATAGTCTTTTAAGGAAGTGTATGAAGACAGTCAGCAATTTTATGTGAAAGAGCCTAACAGCTATAATAACTATAATTGGTTTTCCTCCTCCTAGTAAGGAGACTAAAATCCTTAATGAATAAATATAGTAATAAAGAAATTGTGGGTAATCAGGAGCTGCTTTGTTCCAAGGCTTATAATGCTTAGGGATGCTCCAAATTAGAACTTATTTTTTTAAAAATCAAATCTCTACTTGGGATACATTAGACTAAATGCGCAGCTTCTGTCGAAAGGTGAGAATGAGAAGGCAGACATGATTAGGAGCTGGCTGAAAGGACACGGGAAATCATGGGGGGAAAGGAGGAGTGTGCTGTCACAGTATAGGGAGAACAATTAGGGTCACATAACAATGTATGTATAAATTTTTGTATGAGAGACTAACCTGAATTGTAAACTTTCACTTAAACAAAACAATAATAATAATAAATCTCTACTTGGATAAATGAAAGGGCAAACACTGGTGTTAGGCAGGGTATGACCCAACATGGTAAAACTGTAAATTTTGCTCAAATTAATGCAAATAAAAACAGCAACATTCTAGTGCTCATTCTGAAGTTTACATGTAAACAAATAACACCATGTCAAAATAGCCAGGAAATTCTGCAGAAGATTAATGGAGGAAGTGAGGTAGTCCAATTTATAAAGAAGAATTAAATGTATTATAAAACTACCATACTTAAAACAGATTGGTAGTGGCACATTATAGACACATCAACGGCAACAAAATAAATAATAAAAAATACTGTTAGTTAATGCAAAACAAAGGCAGCATTTCAAATCAGTGAAAAAGACTGGCTGTTAAAAAAAGGTGTTAGAATAATTAGTTAGCTACTTAGGGGAAAAAAAAAACAACAGAAGAATCTTTACCTGACTCCTTACCTAAAAATAAGTTTATAAATGAGGAAGAAATAGCAAAAGATGAAGCTGGTAAAGTAAGCTATGTCTGATGATACATTGTCTGAAGAGAAGAAGCTCCCTGAAGATTTTCTAGAACTGAACTGCACAATGCTGAGCCAGGAGGCATATTTCCAAAGTGATACTGACTTAGCTGTCTAACTCCTTGGTGACGTCAGTAATTTTAAATTCACTATAATTAATTATTAATTCTACATATTCTGGAAGGTGGAACTTCATATGTGTCTTATAGAATGGTATATCATTTAGGACTCATGAAGACAGGCATATAGGCTGAATGAGGGGAAAGCCTCACTATTCAGCATCACCTGTAACATGGCTCATGGGAAAAGTTACTCGTTCAACTTTCCACAGTCTTCATGCATGGACTTACTTAGAGGATAAGGGAGAGGACTTGACTAAACTCCACTAAAAATCTCTTGGGGTGGCAGTTAAAACAGTAGTGGGGGTGACAGTTAAAACAGTAGTGGGAAAGGTAGTTTTTTGGGAAAGGGGTTGGAAACAGCAATATAGTTAGCTCAATCCTCGTCTCATATATGAGTAGTGAGTAAAATCACCTGCTTGTTAGTCTGACAGGTAAAGAGTGAAACAGCAACCCTGGCTGCTAGGCAAAATGATGTAATCTTGCCTTCCATTTTAGGCTGGGTTCTCTAGAGAAGCGAAACCAGTGAAACGTCTATACATACATACATAGACAGAAAGAGAGAGAAAATTGATTTATATCAAGGAAATGGTTCACGTGGTTGTACAGGCTAGAAAGTCCCAAGTCTGTGGGTCAGGCTGGAGGCTTCTGACTCACGCAGCTACAGGGACTGGCGAACCCCAGATCAGCAGGTCAAACAACAGGCCTCTGGCTCACAGGCTGCAGAGGCCAACAAATCCCAAGATCAGCAGGTAAGCTAGCAGGTCGCTGGCTCACAGACTGTGGAGGCTGACAAGGCCCAAGACTGGCAGGTAAGCTGCTAGCTCAAGTCCCAAGAATCAGAGGTCAGATGAACAGGAATCAGTTGCAGGATCCAGAGCGAGCAAAAGCTTGCGAAGCTTACCAGAAAGTTCACCTATATTGGATGCAGGCCACACCCCCAAGGAGACTCCCTTTCAACTGACTGTCTGCTCACAGCAGATCCCATCATCGAGGTGATCACATCATATCAGATCTCATCATGGAAGTGATTACATCATTATATGACTACCAAACTATATCATAACTGCCAAACCACTGAGAATCATGGCCCAGCCAAGTTGACAAACAACCTTAATGATTACAGTCCATCCCTGTAAGCCTGGCACCTGTACACATCTCCTTAAACCACAGATAATCTCTGAATAAAGACAATTATAAAGTCATACTTGCACCTAACACCATAAAACTAACATGTGTACAACCGAAAACACACTAGACCTGTTTATATCTTGTATTTTACAAATGAAGAAAACAAAAATATTTGATATACCCATACAAGGAAGAAATACTCATAACAAGTACAGTCCTCATTTCTGCAGTTGGTCACATGGTTGTAACTGGTATTTAGAGCTATCTTCTTCCACTACCCATTCCATATTCCCTTTGCCCTCAGCAAGCACGTCAGCTGGTTGTGATTCTTTCCCTGGTGGGGTGACCCAAACCTTCATTCCTGAAGGGTCTGGGCCATTAGTACTCATGTCGGAATTGGGTTGCTGTAGTTTTCCACTGACTTTAATCACAAGGCATAGTAGTACTAAGAGATGCCCTAAGGGATCTCCTGTATTCCAGACATAACTCTTCTTTACCTTCATTATGTAATATCAATCCTATTTCCTCTTGGAAATCAAGATCAATCACACCAGCCAATATGGTAACTCCCTAAGGAGCCTAAAATGGCCAAGTGGCATTATTAACTTCCAGTTAAATTGAATCAGTAATGTGTCTTCAAGTGGGAGCATTCTTTCCTTTGGAACTAAGACCTCTAGACTCGCAGAGCACAGGGTCACAGGAACAGGAAGCAAAAATGTTGCAAGTGGGTGACTAGAGGTAATAGTGAGTGGTGCCACTCCCACTTCCACCCTTTGATTTCTGGACTCATGAATCCTGGATATCGGAGAAAGAGCACCAATAATTGGATGCTGGTTTAGAGCATATACAGCTTCCTGGAGAACACTGCCCCAACCCTGCAAGGTAAGGTCACCTAGCTGGCACCATAACTGTGTCTTTAGAAGGCCATTCCATTGTCCTATCAAGCCAGCTGCTTCAGGATGATGGTCAACATGGTAAGACCAGTGAATTCCATGAGCATGAGCCCATTGCTGCACTTCATTTGCCGTGAAGTGAGTCCCTTGATCTGAGGCAGTGTTTTCTGGGATACCGTAACGGTGGATAAGGCATTCTGCACATCCACGGGTGGCAGTTTTGGCAGAAGCACTGTATACAGGGAAGGCAAATTCGTATCCAGAGTAAGTGCCTATTTCAGTAAGAAAAAAATGCTGCCCTTTCCATGATGGAAGTGGTTCAATGTAATCAACCTGCCACTAGGGTGCTGGCTGATCAACTCAAGGAATGATGGGGACTCATGTTGGTCTCTGCTGCTGGTAGACTGGGCACTCAGCAATGGCTATAGCCAAACTGGCCTTGGTGAGTGGAAGTCCATTTTGCTGAGCCCATGCATAACCTCCCTCCCTGCCATCATGGCCACTTTGTCCATGAGCCCATTGGGCAGTGAAGGGAGTGGCAGGGGGAAGAGGATGACTGGTTTTCAAAAAATGCATCATCCTATCCACTTAATTGTTAAAATCCTCCTCTGCTGAGGTTACCCTTTAGTGAGCGTTCAATTGAGACACAAATATCTTCACTTCTTTGGCCCATTCAGAGAGATCTATCCACATACCTCTTCTCCATAAATCCTTGTCTCCAATTTTCCAATCATGTTTCTTCCAAGTTCCTGGCCACCCAGCCAAACCACTGGCCACAGTCCATCAGTCAGGATACAATCGCACATCTGGTCATTTATCCTTCCAAGCAAAGTGAACAACCAGGTGAACTGCTCAAAGTTCTGCCCATTAGAAGGATTTTCCTTCACCACTGTCCTTCAGCGAGGCCCCAGGAAGGGGCTGCAGTGCTGCCGCTGTCTT